AAAAATTCGCATAGCTCATAAAATAATACAAGCCGAATAATATTAATTTTTAAAATATGGGGTCAGGATAATTTTTATTTTTTATATTTTTAAACATAGCATTTACAGAGTAATAAACTGTATTTACTATTTAACACTTCTTTTAATATAAAGGTATATGGCGACACAGTATTACGACAAAATGGAAAACAAGTTGCAGTTGTTGCAAATCTAGTTTACAGCATGCACTGAATACTGTTGATGCCTCCGTGGTGTAGGTGGTGGTTGTTGCTGGCGAGGTTCGCTCTGAAATTTAAAACAAGAGTCAAACTGTTCAACATAATATGTTCAAATCAATTCAATGACCTGGGACACTTGTGATATCTAGCGAAAATGTAACACGGCTTCAAATAATTAGCGTGTGCCCTTAATCAATGGCACATGCACACGCTCAACGTTGATCACGCAACTAACTATATACACATTGACAAGTTTCTTTGTGTTTCAATCTGTATTAAGATAAACTGGAATACGGTGGAAATTGTACTCATATTTATTTTGTATAGTTTGTATAGAGCCGTGCCAGGTGTTTATGATTTATGTATCATGTGACACATTTTACTTTTCATTGGCCACAACTGTGGCTATTTTGGAAAATGGTTGCCCACATTGGTCGAGGAATGATTGTTTGATATTGATACGCTTTGAAAGCGTTCAGACGTCTAAGTGAAGGAACACCCAACACAATGTTCTCATGTAAGGAGCAAAGCTATATTACGTATAACACCCAACACAATGTTCTCATGTAATGAGCAAAGCTATATTACGTATAACACCCAACACAATGTTCTCATGTAATGAGCAAAGCTATATTACGTATAACACCCAACACAATGTTCTCATGTAAGGAGCAAAGCTATATTACGTATAACACCCAACACAATGTTCTCATGTAATGAGCAAATCTATCTTACACACCGCGCACAGGAAGAAGTTCATCTTTTTTTGCACCAATAACAACTTACACTATGACCGATCTTGGCTCAGGGCAATATCATGATTGTGTTTTCCATTTGTGTAGTTCAGAAAAGGAAACAAAAAGAAACCGGGAACGTGAATCTCCGTATCCAGGCATTTCCCAGGACACGAAATGCTTTTCTTCCACCCAACACACTATCAGGAACACACCTATCAAAAAAAACTTCACAAATACTTAATTATCACCGACACCTCACCAATTATGGCACATGACATAGAATTACGACAATAGGTATTGTGAAGAAGCGTTTGTAGTCAAGGTAATAAATGACATAATCCCGCCAGGGGGCGTCAAGCACGGTTGGAGATGACCTGGCTTTCTTCTTGACCTACCAGTTCTATCCTGTCTGAACCTCTATCCCTAGCTGAGCTGTCCGCTGGATCATGTGAATGGCGATTGACATTGGGGACTGAGCATAGAATCGTCGTCTGTTGCACCACTACAGCTTCCTGCGTTTTTAAAACTTAGACAACTCCTTTTTTTTCTATACTTTGATTATTTCCCCCCTATACTTTGATCCCCCCCCACCCCCCGGTTTTGAATCATAATAACAAATAAAAAAAGACACACACAAAAATCCTATTGTTTAGCGCACACACCAAGCCTCATTCCCAATCTGGACCTACCTGGGCTCGTAAGCAGTGTAAAGTGTAAGCTTTTTGTATCCAAGCCACTCTCCCGCGCAACGCACAGAAACCTGAATCCACCGTGAATCTTATGAAATCTGAAGCTTAGTTTAGACTCGTGTCGAAACAGTCCACACGTGTGTGGCACAGGAGTTCCAGGCTCTTCTCGGATGTCCTTGTGAAACGGATAAGCATCGTTGAACCCTCGTGGTAACTTTAAGTGACCGTACCTCCAGACAAGCTGCACGGGGTTTTGTTCGTTCTACAGGATTTGAAAGGAGGAAAGAAAAATCCCAGTTATTACATTTTAGGCTACAACAATATTATGGAACAGGCTACAACAATATTATGGAACAGGCTACAACAATATTATGGAACAGGCTACAACAATATTATGGAACAGGCTACAACAATAATATGGAACAGGCTACAACAATATTATGGAACAGGCTACAACAATAATATGGAACAGGCTACAACAATATTATGGAACAGGCTACAACAATATTATGGAACAGGCTACAACAATATTATGGAACAGGCTACAACAATATTATGGAAAAGGCTACAACAATATTATGGAACAGGCTACAACAATATTATGGAACAGGCTACAACAATATTATGGAACAGGCTACAACAATATTATGGAACAGGCTACAACACTATTATGGAACAGGCTACAACACTATTATGGAACAGGATACAACAATATTATGGAACAGGCTACAACAATATTATGGAACAGGCTACAACAATATTATGGAACAGGCTACAACAATATTATGGAACAGGCTACAACAATATTATGGAACAGGCTACAACAATATTATGGAACAGGCTACAACAATATTATGGAACAGGCTACAACAATATTATGGAACAGGCTACAACAATATTATGGAACAGGCTACAACAATATTATGGAGCAGGCTACAACAATATTATGGAGCAGGCTACAACAATATTATGGAGCAGGCTACAACAATATTATGGAGCAGGCTACAACAATATTATGGAACAGGCTACAACAATATTATGGAACAGGCTACAACAATATTATGGAACAGGCTACAACAATATTATGGAACAGGCTACAACAATATTATCGAACAGGCTACAACAATATTATGGAACAGGCTACAACAATATTATGGAACAGGCTACAACAATATTATGGAACAGGCTACAACAATATTATGGAACAGGCTACAACAATATTATGGAACAGGCTACAACAATATTATGGAGCAGGCTACAACAATATTATGGAGCAGGCTACAACAATATTATGGAGCAGGCTACAACAATATTATGGAGCAGGCTACAACAATATTATGGAACAGGCTACAACAATATTATGGAACAGGCTACAACAATATTATGGAACAGGCTACAACAATATTATGGAACAGGCTACAACAATATTATCGAACAGGCTACAACAATATTATGGAACAGGCTACAACAATATTATGGAACAGGCTACAACAATATTATGGAACAGGCTACAACAATATTATGGAACAGGCTACAACAATATTATGGAACAGGCTACAACAATATTATGGAACAGGCTACAACAATATTATGGAACAGGCTACAACAATATTATGGAACAGGCTACAACAATATTATGGAACAGGCTACAACAATATTATGGAACAGGCTACAACAATATTATGGAACAGGCTACAACAATATTATGGAACAGGCTACAACAATATTATGGAACAGGCTACAACAATATTATGGAACAGGCTACAACAATATTATGGAACAGGCTACAACAATATTATGGAACAGGCTACAACAATATTATGGAACAGGCTACAACAATATTATGGAACAGGCTACAACAATATTATGGAACAGGCTACAACAATATTATGGAACAGGCTACAACAATATTATGGAACAGGCTACAACAATATTATGGAACAGGCTACAACAATATTATGGAACAGGCTACAACAATATTATGGAACAGGCTACAACAATATTATGGAACAGGCTACAACAATATTATGGAACAGGCTACAACAATATTATGGAACAGGCTACAACAATATTATGGAACAGGCTACAACAATATTATGGAACAGGCTACAACAATATTATGGAACAGGCTACAACAATATTATGGAACAGGCTACAACAATATTATGGAACAGGCTACAACAATATTATCGAACAGGCTACAACAATATTATGGAACAAAATCCGATACTTAACACAAACATTAAAAAAAAAAAAAAAAGTTAAGCTCAATTTTTTTTAGTATTGTCACGGGCAACTAGTCTAAATGCCAAATTTCAGCTCGATCGGCTGACGAGAAGGGGGTTAAATAGTCGTCCGAACGTTGTTTTTTTTCCAGCCAGCCACCAACAACAGCGAAGTTAATGAAAAGGATTTAAAATAAATTAGTAACTTCACATTATGCGATGTGACGTTTCCGCCCTGAGGAATGGCAAACCTGACTGACTTAATTTGGCTTCATAACATTTACGCAAATCAAGTAGTGTTCTAAAAACAAGGCCTGTTAGCTTTTCGCTGGTGTAGGGCTACTCCTAGTCACAGCGTAAAACAGAGACCTAGATACAATATTGTCGAGATTACTGAATCACGAGTGCATGTTTTATTATTAAATAGTTTAATTGAGCCGCTGTGATACATTAAATAAAAATATGTCTCAAAGACATGTGAGCTAATCGGTTAAAAGATGTTAGACATTGATGCAATAAATGGGTTAAGTGAGCTGTGTAAATTACGGGTGGCGAAAGTCCTCGTCCCAAGGAAGTTTGTGTCGATTGGTTGAAAGCTATGTGTTTTAAAATGAATGGGTACAGAGAAATTGAGAGAGAACGATCAGCGAGATGGCGAACGCTTCACGGCTATTGGACCTGTATAGTATATTTAGATTAGCGATTCTCAGCCCATGTGTCGCCACCCCTTTGGTGGCCGACCGAGTCCACTGAGCAAACTTTCCCAATTCGTGTATAGCCAAGCCTTGTCTACCACTGTGAACTGATGTACAGTGTCAATAAACACGTCAATAGCGTTAATTTGGTGTTCAAGTTACAGGATATTCGTTACAACCCCGATGATGCTACTACGACCCCTAAGGTTAGCAACCAATACAACCTCGATGACGCTACTAAGACCCATAAGTTTAGCAACCAATACAACCTCGATGACGTTTCTACGACCCCTAAGGTTAGCAACCAATACAACCCTAATGACGCTTCTACGACCCCCTAAGATTAGCAACCAATACAACACTGATGACGTTAGTGACATGATTAAACTACATAAGCATTCCGTTACCCTAACAGTGCATGTCAAAGTGATATTGTCTCCTTTGCTGTTGTAAGAAATGTACTGCTCATCACCCCTCTTCGGGTCTAGAGTCAGTTGTGCAAGTTTTGCTTCTTTTTCACCTGGAAAATGGTAACAAATTATAATACTATTGATTATATAGGTGCCTCAATAACTATGATTATATAGATGTCTCAATAACTACGACTATATAGATGTCTAAATGACATTGATTATATAAATGAGTCCATAACAATGATTATGCAGATGTCTCAATACCACCGATTATATAGATGACCCAATCACGTTCATTTACGGCGCTTGCACCATTTGACAAGTAAAAGGATTGAAGACTGGATTGAAAATCAATTTACCCCTATGACTCCCTCCGTAAAGTACGGGAGTACTGAGCAGCGGTTGTAAGCCGTAGTTTTACCACGGGCTGGTCGAGTTAGCAATGCTGTTAAAACTTTGATTAAATATTAAATTAGATTTTTGTGTGTTCCCCTGTGCACTTAGTTAAATTAAAAGCGTTAGATGAAAGGAATTTTTAAAATTAAAATGTCAAACACTGCTAATATTTGTAATAGGATGAAATATATACATATTTCTCTATAATTAGATTTAACATACCGGTGTTGTTTTTAAGAAGAAACAAAAATTGCAAGAAGAGTTTAATTTTAATTTTATGACATCACAAAGATATCTATTTATTTTAGCTCTGCCACTTCATGCGAACATACAAAAATAATAAGTGCTTGTAAAGGGGGGGGGGGTTGTGGGGTCTTCTTTCTGTTCGGAAGTTCTGAGCTTAGAAATGTTACGACCTTTGTATTTGAATTTTGTTCCATGTGTGTCAAATCATACGATCGTTCTAATTTCTGGCACCGTAATCTATTTCACTAATAGAGCCATGTTGCTTCATACTTCACTACAAATACAGCTATGTTGCTTCATACTTCACTACAAATACAGCCACACTTCACTACCCACACAGACATGTTTGGTCCACACTTCACTACACACACAGCCATGTTTGGTCCACACTTCACTACACACACAGCCATGTTTGGTCCACACTTCACTACACACACAGCCATGTTTGGTCCACACTTCACTACATACACACATACATTTTTGGTCCAAACTTCACTACACATACAGCCATGTTTGGTCCACACTTCACTACACACACACAGACATGTTTGGTCCACACTTCACCACACACACAGCCATTTTTGGTCCACACTTCACTACACACACAGCCATAGAATGCTAGTAACGCGCTGCGAATCAACTAAACATTACATGAAATAACGCAATCGGAAAAATCTGTTTTCCCTTGTTGTTTTTTTTAAAGTTAATTTTAAAAAAAAAACATGACAGGTTCAACGTTCTCCTTTCTCCAACTTTTTGTCAAAAGTTTTGACACAATTTTTGTTAAAAAAAATAACTGATCCATATTCAAAATAAGGTGGGAATGTAATGAGATTCCAACTAAATAGGATCATTTCATACGATGGAAGAATAAAATCAGAGCTATGTATTACCCTGTTTATAGACTCGTATTACCCTGTTTATAGACTCGTATTACCCTGTTTATAGACTCGTCTGTTTATAGACTCGTATTACCCTGTTTATAGACTCGTATTACCCTGTTTATAGACTCGTAACGCTTCGCTGACTCTTGCCCACCCCTCGCCACCAAGGTGAATTATGGTGCACGTGAACAGCGTGTTTTCCACACACGTGACCTTGTCTGCCCTGATCACGATCCTCATCGTGTCTCTGTTCCGGCTGGGATCGGCAGACCGATTATTGAGATCACCGGTCATCTCGATCTTCCACGACACCCCTGGCACTCGATTCTAAGGACAAGTTGGGTTTCACACTGGTTAGTGTATGTTATTAATTAAATTCTGTAGAACTACAAAACTAAACTCACAGATACACGTAACTATTTAATAGACATTGAAATAGAATAGGTATTATGTTTTCTGTGTGACACAATGTGACTATGGTGAAGAATGTGCAGGACAGAAATCACAAGACCTGTTTTTTGTTGTTGTTTTGTTAGCAGAATAATCTGGTTCCCTAGACAGCTTTCATCCCTTCTCAGCCAATCACATGAACAACCCAAGGGAACATCACATATGGATGATGCAGCTTGGCACCAGTAGCGTCGCAGGAGTTGCCGAAAATTTTGATTGTGTCAATGCTATCCGCCCACGGTACTCCATCTCCAGGTTTGAATTCAGAGTTCGCCTTCATTTAGATGAGTTGCCAGCCGAGGTTGACAAGTCCCATCCAACCCGGGGGGGGGGGGGGGAGGGGGGTGGGTGGGGGTGGGGGCTGGGGATGTTTTTGCATCTAAGGCAGTGGTTCTCAATCTTCCTAATACCGCAGCCCTTTAATACGGGTTCTCATGTTGTTGTGACCCCCGACCATAAAATTATTAGGTTTGTTGCTATTTCATATCTGTTGAGTATATTTGTTTTCCGATGGTCTTAGGCGAAAGGGTCATTCGACCCCAAAGGGGTCGTCACCCATATGTGATGATCTAAGGGCTTCGGTATGGGATTGAACCCCATGCCTCTCGGCCACTCAGCACCCATGAAGTTAATAATACCCCCAATGAATGTGAATTAAGTAAATAAAGCTTACTATAAACGGTACTCCCCTCCATCCATAATCGAAGACCGCGAATGAAAATTTTTCCTTTTTCTCCCTGCCTTGTAAATGTATTGCCATGTACAAAGATCGAATCCGCTTGACATATGCAGGGAGTGGCTTATCCGCACGGCTTGCATCACACGTTATTGTAACTGAGTCTCCGAACATGACCTCTGTCTTGTCAAACATTGACACCTTTCCATATGCTTGACAAAAAATAAACATATTAAAAATATGTAAATTGGTCTAGGGGCAGTGGTTCTCAACCTGCCTAATGCTCCTAAACTTTAATACAGTTCCTCATTTGTGGTGCCCCCCCCCCCCCCCCACCAATCCCTAAAACTGTATTCTTTGCTATTTCATAAATATATGTTCTCCGATGGTCTTAAGGCGACCCCTGTGTAAGGGGCGTTTGACCCCCAAAGGTGTCGCGACCAACAGGCTAAGAACCGCTTGTCTAAAGAAAGGCGATATAACGAAGTTATTTGCTATTATATAGTTTTTAAAAAATTTAAAAAAAATTATTAAGACCACAGTTTACAAAAAGAAATATCTCCGAAACGACTAGTCATCTATTGATAAAAGTGTTTAAGACTAGGGTGTATTGGAAAACAATTAGATCCTGCAAGATGTTGATGTCGACATTGGAAAAGTGAAAATATTTACCCGTGGCTACGACAAAATGAATAACTTGCAAAACTCTCGTCCACATCCCAACGTCAACCGCGTGCCTGCAGATGAAAAAATGATAACGCACACACATAAAAATAACATGTTAAACCCGCACGCACGCACACACATAAACACATATTAAAACCCACAGACACATACACAGACACACAAATACACACATGTACATGTATACACACACTAATATTAATTTGAATTAACCTCCCTGAGGCCCATACATGTTTTGATGTTTCTAACTTGGAGTGCGTTGCGAATATATGGGCTTCTGTCAGCTATATCTCGAGGGGAGGGGGGCGGGGGGGGCGCTGCCTCCCCGGGGAAAGCCAAGTGCCCCCCCCCCCCCCTCCCCCCCCCCCCTTAAAAACCTGAAGTGCCCCTCCCCCCCCCCCCCGCGGGGGAACATTTCTGAAATAATCACTGGTTGCGAATAGCTGAGTCTCTGAGTCCGTCATGCTAAATAAAAAGTTTATCGAGCCCCGTGTTAACCTGACTCTTTAATAGCCGTTGTGATATCATTTATTTTGATCTGATAAAATTTATTTTCTTCTATTACTTTGGACAGACTGAAGAGTAAAAATCTAGATAATTTAAGGATAATTTTTTAAAAATCTAAATTTTTCATGGACACCGGTATTAGACATTACGAAGCTAGAAGGAATGTTAAATTCATTACGCAAAAATATGTGTGTATATATATATATTATTTTTAATTTTTGAGAGAAATAAGAGTAGGATTTAAAAAAAAAATATTGAAGGATAATTCAACATTTTTACAAAATCCTTTTCATTTTTCTCTTAAAAGTTAAAAAATAATGTATTTATATATAACTCTATATATATTATTATATATATGTATGTATGGCATCTTTCCGTCTGCGGGAGACGTTAGATTATCTTAATTGCTTGCAGCTCTTGGTGTGGCTGGTGAGACCAATCCTCGAGTGACAGTCTCTGTTACATTTCCCACACACGAATGCAGTGGAGCAGTATTGACCGGCCTTCCTCCTCACTCTTTTTGCAGCTGTTTCCGCCCTGTTTTGATCCTCGGTATGTAGTGATCCTGTTTTCACGATGCCTCGCTATGAGGATCGATCCTCTGCCAGCTCCTCCCAGTTTGAGATGTCGATGTTAGAGGGCTTCATGTCTCTTTTGCATATGTCTAAGTATCTCAGACGAGGCCGTCCAACTGACCTTTTCCCTGTCGCCAGCTTGCTGTATAGCACGTCCTTTGGTATGCGACCAGACTGCATTCGCTTGACGTGTCCAAGCCAGCGGAGGCGTCTTTGGATTAACATGGCTGGGACGCTACACATGTTTGTTTGGGACAGGCCATCCGTTTTGGGGACTCTGTCTTGCAATTTAATGTCAAGGATGTGGCGCAGGCATCTGAGGTGGAAGCCATTGAGCCTTCTTTCGTGTTTAGAGTATGTGGTCCACGACTCGCATCCATACAGAAGTGTGTTCAGTACGCTGGCCTGGTACACCTGCAGCTTAGTTCTTGTTGTGAGTTTGGCGTTTGACCAGACTCTTTTCTTCAGTCTGGCCATGACAGTTGCGACCTTCCCTATCCTCCCACTTATCTCATCCTCCATTGAGAGGATGCTCGATATGTTGGATCCCAGATATGTGAATCTGTCAACAATATCCAAGTCGTAGTCGTCGATGGCGATAGTGGGGAAGGAGTCAGCGCCCTGTGCCATAATGTTAGTTTTCTTTAGGCTAATTGTCAGGCCAAACTCTTTGCAGGCAGCGGATATGCTGGATACGAGGCTCTGCAGGCCGTCTGCTGTGTGAGATACCAAAGCGGCATCGTCCGCAAACAAGAACTCCCGCAGCAAGACCTTTCTTGTTTTAGTCTTACCTCTAAGGCGGGCAATGTTGAATAATTTTCCGTCATCTCTAGTGTGGATGTATATCCCCTCGCTGTTGTTCTGAAAGGCATACTGGAGTAGGATGGAGAAAAAGATTGCAAATAAAGTAGGAGCCAGCACGCAACCTTGCTTAACTCCACTACTCACTGGAAAAGCTTCTGAGGCGGCACCGTTATAGCACACTGTGCCCTGCATGTTTTCGTGGAACTGCTTGATGATGTTAAGCAGTCGCGTAGGGCAGCCTATCTTTTTGAGGATCTGAAACAGGCCGCTTCTGCTGACAAGATCAAAAGCCTTAGTGAGGTCGACAAACGCAATGTATAAAGGCATATGTTGCTCCCTGCACTTCTCCTGCAGCTGGCGCAGAGAGAAGATCATGTTCATGGTTGACCTACCGACGCGGAAACCACATTGCGATTCTGGGAGTACACGCGATGCTAGGGTCTGTAGGCGTGTTAATAGATATAGATATATAGATATACACACACGTCATTGTTTTGCGTGTGTTCGGATTCAACATTCCATCCCGCCGTGCTAATGATTAACACCAGTCACTCATTAAACACCACAAGGGAGACACATCTTTGTTGACTCTGCTTAATGACCAAAAGTATCTGCAATGTCCGTCACGTTACAAGTCGCATTGTTTCGATCCCTACATCAGCTAGACTCGGTGCGGGGTTGGTGGTGGAGGGGGTAGGTAACGACACAAGGTACCACCGAGCACACGACAGATGTATGAGGCACACCACCACAGTGCTCTATCTAACTGCCGGATTATACATTAAAAGCATTTTCTATAACGTCCATTCCGTGGCTGTCGATCGCGACAACACGACAGATTTGACTCACCCCAGCTCTATGAAATTCATTGTCTATGGTATTTCTTGTTCATTTCTTACGCCGGCGCTGAGAAGATTGTGTTACGTCATGGCTGTGGGCGTTAATGTAATAAAAGCTGATCTATTCGTTTTCCTGTTATGTAATCTACTACTTGGACGAGTCAAGTCCAATCTAGGTGAGTGGAAAATCAACTTGTATGAGGAAGTTTTAAAAATAGATTGTTTTTTTTTTTTTTAAATCAAAATCTGATTATTTATTTTGTTGTTAAATAAAGCTCAAATTCTGTACTGTCTGTCAATTAAATAATGTTTGACTGTCTGAAATTATGACATGACAGCTGTCCGTCCGACACGAGGCTAAAAAGCGTTATAAATATTTTTTGGCGAGCAGCCAATAAAAAAAAAAATATTCAATAGCTGCTAAGAAAATGTTTTTTAGCTGCATACGGTGTTGGATCACTTCAACGTGCCAAATCGATTCCTTGAAAGTGCGGCAGCTATTCCCTTTACACTTTATAGGACCGCATACATATATATGTATATTTATCTTATATATTTGATACATATTTACTTCGGGTTCATCGTACTTCCTCTTTAGAACCGCCCCCCCCCCTATTTTTTCACAATCCACATGTTTTATATTAATAGTATTGAGTTTTAAAAAAATTGCGTGACGTCACTTGACGTCTAAACTCCGGTAAATTAGGTTGATTATTTTTCTTTAGTGCGAGGCGACTATTATTCCATGTTTGTATTGTTCGCGTTCCTCTGGTCATACATAAACGACATGGACACATTCTTAAAGAACATTTTTAAATGGACTAACATAACGATGAAAGTATGTAAACTGTCTGTATTTATTAATCTATTTTCAGCAGATGAAGAGTTTAATTGGATCACAGTCAATGGTTCAGAACTGTCCATTTCCTGTGGAAAAAAACAATTTCTAAAACTCTGGCCAAAGATTGAGGAAGCCAAAGTGGCAAGATTGACTATTTTTAGAAGCTCCGGAAGTGCGTCACTACAAGTCCCCGTAACTCTATTAGATCTTCAGACATTGGAGACAATAAGTTACGGACAAGAATTTCAAGTTTGTAAATGTTAAGAACTAATTTCTTTACTTGAAACAACAGTATCAACAAAAGCGGTTCAATGACACCAACAAAATTCGTACAATCAGTAGCTTAACCACTCGAGCACATATCCCGACAGTTACTCACCAACAAAATCATTTTTATTCGGTATACACCAAACCAAACATTGTTTATATCCCAATGTTTACAGATTAACCCGTCTATACCCACTAAAAAGAATTGGATCATTTTAAAAAAACCAAACAATTGAATCAAACAAATTTCCAATCACACGACATGTACCCGGTATTACTCTTCATATAGGTATACACCACCGAACATTGTATGTATACTACACCATTGTTTCTTTCAGACAGTTTCCTCTAGGATAGCATTTCAGATTTTTTTTGGGGGGGAGGGAGCAGTGCAGTGGCCACTTGCGTAGCTGAGTGGGGACAGAGGGCACAGATCTCCCCGGGCACCAGACTAGTGGGGCCGCCAAAATGACATTTGAGGGCATTTAATGGAGAAAAAAATAATCATTTTTAGAGTTAAAGGGGGGGGGGGAGGGGAAGAAACTTAAATGAATTTTCCCCGCTGGTGCCAAACAATCTAGCTACACCTCTGCCAGAGACGTAGAAATGGAGGGGAATGGTGTGGTCTGTCAAGGTGTACATTTTTTTTTTATCGAGGGCCATCATTTTCTGATAACTGCAGAGTTTGTACCGTGAACGGGAGTTGGAAAGTAA